AAACCTGGCTGTTTAGCCCATTTAATAGAGCAAACAGATGAGCTAAAATATAAATAGTACAAGTAGCAAAACAAAAAGAACAGCGAACAGCTACAAGACACCAAAAGAAAAACCCAACAGAATAAAGGCCAGTTTTGGCCTTACAGCTTAAGTAAAACACAAAGGGAGGCTCTGTAGATAAGGATCAGGCAGTTAACCCCTACCAACAGCCAGATGCAAAAGAAACACCAAGACAAATTCTACAAATCTTAAATAAGTGGCCTCGTGCAAAACAGTTTATAATAAAAAGCCAGCACAATTAACACATCATAAAGTGGCACAGTGCTACAGAGGGAAGCTGCTCACACCAGCTGCAGCCTCCAAAGAATGACAGGTCCGCTGGGCTTTTGACAGGAATGTGGAGATAGGACTGGCACGATTGGTCGATGGAAACCTGGTTGATCCAATCAGTGGCAGCAGAATGTGAGTTGACAAGCCAGCGGGTTATCCTAGACTGGTGGATCACAAAACTCGAGGGCTGGGGCCAAGGCCAGGGCCACTTCCAGTCCCCGGTCCCACACGAGTGGTCATACATGCAAATTTGCATAACCACAATCATGAGAAACAAAAGGTAAGGCAGCGGCAGGCACAGGCCATAACAATATTTATACAACAACAACAAAAAGGCAAATGTGACATACAGTAGTTTTTCCTTAGTTTTTTCTATCTTTATGTAGCAATAACGCACTGCCCATGTTCCCAAAGACATTTATTTTACTGCGGCAGCACATGTGCACCTGAATTTTCAGTGCAGTACAATCCTGTGTGAATCATACTGCCAGGTTTATTGATATTTGCCAGCAGTTATTCCATCATTCAAATTGAATCATCACAAACTGTGACGGTGCATGAAATGGAGTTGTACTGCTGCTTCCATTCAGCAGTGACAACAAGCTACACTATCGGCCCGTGTAAATATGGCCAGATCTCCAGCTAAAAAATACAGCCAAAATAAAATGGATGGTCATTCAAAAATTTGTTAATCTCTTTTGGTGCTGAGTTCAACAAAATGCCTGTAGCTTCTTCTCAAGGGCGGCACCTGGGCGAGCCCCTGATCATTAGATACTCTCTTGTTGTTTAATATACAGTTATAATATACAGAGTGCTAATTGTATTTGCAAACTTAGCTCTGAGAAATAACATTAGGTTAAACTTATTGATGATCCTCTTGTGACGGCACAAACACAAATATCAGAGGAAAAAGTAAACTGAGCTACTGGTCTAAAAGATGCACAGAAAAGCAAAACAGCAGTGGTTTGTTTTTTAAGTCTTAGCAGAAAGGAAACTACTCTTGGCTGCTTCATTTTTAAGTGTACTTTCATTTCTAAGGGATCTGAGATAACAGATCACAATGTTACATAGCTCCAAAAGACAAGGCTATAAAATTTCATGGTATAATTCAAGGGTTTTTAAAGTGTAGGAAGGTGAGCTTCCCCTCAGAGGAGATCATGAAAACAGCATCTTTATTAAAAATTATTACCTTGATTGTTGCTGTGGCCTACTATATGTTCCACTCTGCCATAACAGTAAATGTAAACATCTTTTTTTAAGCAAAATCTTGTGGAACATGATTCCACTCTGAAGTAGTATTAAACATTGATTAGCGCTGTCGCCTCACAGCAAGAAGCTCCTGGGTTCGAGCCCCGGCTGACCCAGGGCCTTTCTGTGTGGAGCTTCCGTGGGTTTTCTCCCGATGCTCCAGCTTCCTCCCACAGTACAAAGACATGCAGCTTAGGTTGACTGGTGACTCTAAATTGCTCGTAGGAGTGAGTGTTTGCCTGTGACAGACTGGCGACCTGTTCAGGGTGGATCCTGCCTCTCGCCCAGTGTCAGCTGGAATTGGCTACAGCCCCCCCACGACCCTGTTCAGGTTTAAACGGTATAGATAATGGATGTTGAGCCATGTTTGTGTATTTTTACTCAAGTCAATGTCTGAACACATCAAACTGAAATTGGCCACCAAACCAAATCATCATTGCGACCATGCATAGTGCTGCTCTTCATATCACTGTCTCCACATCGTCCTGCCTTAGCAGGCCACTTCGGATGACTCTGTATTCACAGTGCCAAATGTCTGTTGCTTTCTGTGACTACAGGTTGTTAGCTGTCTAGCTTGTTACCAAAAAACTCCTGTATCTTGGTCACCAATCCTGGGTGTTTTGAGAGTTTACACGGTCTCATACTGTCCTTAGCTAGCACCACTTTTCAAATAACACACTGGAGCATCATCAGGACCAGTCCATGAAAATCCAAACTGTTTTGCCCCACACATAGCTGAGCTGAAGTTTAATGTTTACAGTTATTTTTTTCTGGATGATTGTTTTCTCACGCTGCGCCTCCCCTGAAATCCTCTAACACCCCCCAGGGGAGGTGCGCCTCTCCCTTTGAAAACCGCTGATATAACTTATTCGTTAGTCGGTTTATCCTTCTTTGTCATAAAATGAACTTAGCCCTCAGGTAAGTGTACCCACCTCTGCATCTGGTGGTTGAGTGTTTCATTGAGGTTGAACTTAATTTACCTCTTTTTACCTAAAAACAAGCAGTTAGACAAGGTGATGCTATACAATCTAATGTGAGCACTAGTACATGATTAGAAAAGAACCGTATCCTTCCAGTGGCCATGATTGAGTGGCTGACCAAAATGTACTTCTGATATGGTAGTCAGCAGTACTGTATGCTCATAAAATAGGTGATGGATAAGAGGGATGATACAGGCACAGTAACTCAAAATAAGTAACTCAAAGGAACAAGTACGTAATGATGAATTGAAAGACAATAAGAATGAAAGGAGACAGAGTAATCCTCATAGATAGAGCCAGTTCTAGCTGTGTGTCAGGTTTCCTCTTTGCTGCAATTCCTCAGATCCCAAATGAAAAGCTAAAAAACAGTTCAAGGTTTATTGATTGCTGCCTATGGTACAAAAAGAAAAGTTAGCACATGAAAAGGGTATACGGACTCTCACAAGACTGAAAAGCCCTCTTTGTTGTGCTTTAGATGCCATATGGACAGCAACACGTTCAGCTCAGTTAACCCAATAAGTTGTTGTTGACACTGCCCTCTAGAGATATGTGATAGAGCATTAGTCCTGCAGAAGCATCCTCTCTCTGTCAGCAGTGGAAGGTAGGGGGAGGGAATGTGGGAGAGTCTCTGCCACTGCATTTACTTGTTCCTATGAGTTTGAATTTCTATGTCTGTCACTGGTTTTCCTCTTCTCTGTAATGCCCTATGAGGAAAACCTTGGTCAACTCATTGTTCAGTTTGGTCTTGCTGCACTGTGTTAGCAAAGGTGCATGGGCCGCCAAATCTCTCCCTGCTAGGATACTGCTTTCCTGGGGTGCCCACATAGGTACAAGGTCTTACTGGGTCACTGCTGCTCAGATCAATACAGGTTTATGGCCTTGATATATTGAGTCTGCTTTGCTGAAAATGGGAAACCAATGGCTTTATTCAAGTGAATTCATATTTTTGGAGAATGGATTTGGCACGCTGGTGGCTGTCTTTCTGAATAACTTATTGCCTGAATTTTGAAAGAGAGCCCCGAGGACCATTTCACTAAAGGGGTATAGTGCTGCAAACATCATTTCAAAGCCAAAGAGAGTAGCAAATCAGGGCTAACCTTGCTAAGGTGATGCTGATTAGAATGACATGGCCTGAGGCGCCTATCAAAGTTTGGGGAGTTATGACAGTACTTGTGGCCCCATCACTCTTGAACACTTGACAGATGATCGCAATGACAGAAAATACACCATGTAACTCCTGTTATTTAAGTCTTTACTAATAAAACTTGACTGATGCACAACTGGCTCATCTTCAGGACAGCAGTGATATGCTAATTGGAATTTGTAGAAAATGTCACTGCAGTATATTACAATACATGTGGAGCATAATTTTAATACAACCTGACATTAAAACAGTCAGGTTTGAGTATCAAAAAGAAATGCTGCTGTCATTCAAGAGGCCCGTTCTCTCAAAAAGATACCGATGTCATTCTTACCACTATGGATGATCACAGCATCTCAGGGCAGAGACATGCCAAGCTAATAAGACCTGCTGGTAGGGAGAGTTATTTCTGTCATCAGTCACAGGACGTACATCCTAGTTGGACCTTGGCAGTAGTTTGCCAGTGTGTTCAAGTGTTACTTTTTCAACCCGACTGGCCCAGACAAAGATGTGAGGGGATGCAGAGGTCGGCCTCTGTCGCTGCTAGTTCTTTCATGTCTGCTTGGTGTGTCTCTGCCCTTAGGTGAATGTGATAGATGCCCTTTAATGAAACAAATGATCAGAGCCAATTTAAACCAGAAGAGTGACTTTAACCTACCTGATCAGGCCCATTATGCAGTATTGACACAGCTGATCAGGTCCATTACACACAGGATTGTTCATAAAGCTAAGAATGTTTGCTGGCTTTAATGTTCTTCAAACTAAATATATTTAATATGTTTATCTTATCCAGCTTAATACAGGTGTTTTGATTTTGTGGTCTGACGGTGAAACAAGACATATTGTGCAACAGTTGGCATAGGCAGGAATCAATAAGCCTTGAACTGTTTTTAACTTTTTATTTAGGACCTGAGGAATTGCAACAAAGAGGAAACCAGACACACAGCTTGAACTGACTCCATCTATGATTACTCTGTCCCCTGTCATTCTTCTGGTCTTTCCAGTTATCATTAAGTACTTGTTCCTTTGAATTACCTACAATGTATGCTATTAAATATTTTCAGGTGATTGAGTGTTTGATAAACTGGACAGGGGGTTTGGTTACCATGTCCAATTAATCAAATATATTTATACATAAAATAATGTTTTGAAGGGAAAATCCTACAGAAATAATTCGGCTTAATGGACAGAATTAGAGGACTGTCAGTCCAGGGTAGGATTAAGGGGAACTGTGTGAAATAAAAGAGTGAGTGATCAGAAAGGGACTGTGCGTCTGTCTGGAGGGCGGGGGAGAGAAGCAGACAGACAGAGAGAGAGAGCGGTTACTGAGGAGCACATTTTCATCCAAACCTCTGTTTTTTCCCAGAGCATATCTCTGCTCCGCGGCTGAGCTCAGCTCCCTATTGTTTAAACTGGGAGGGGGAAAAACAACATTCCGCTTGCTCTGTAATCGCAGCCTGTGAGTCGTTTTTGTGATCTGATGTTCGATTTTCGTCGGTCTCAATGCTGCATTCACTGTCAACTTCTCCGATTTCAACACTTAGACTTGAGCTGCATCATGAATAGTTTGGGGGCACCTTTCAATCACATATCTCTGGAATGGTGGGGATTACACAGCCGAAACCCGGAGAGCATGTAAACACAGATGGAGTTTGGGATTTATTGCAAAATAAGAGAAAGATGACCGTCTTCTCATTGTGCTTGCTCTTGTGCGCAGATCTGCTGGATTTAGCCGTCGGTAAGTCTGACCCTGTCATGTTATTTTCACGCAGTGGGAGCCTCGGTTCTCTCATCCATGCAGGCTCTAACAATATTCTGAGAGTCAATGAGTTGAGTGATTCTTATGTATAAACGGGGCTGCCGGATCGATGCGAGTGGTGCCATGCTTGTCTTATGCCAACTTTCCCCCTCTATGCCAGACAAGTCGTGGAGGAGAGGGATCAGTGCATAATGGTCGGATTTAGTTCAGGCTGCTCAGTGCGTGGCGTCGGTGTGCTCAACGGGAATGCAAGAAGAGCGGCAGCAGGAGGCCTAGTTTTGTATTAAGTCGTAATTCATCTGCATTGACTATCACGACCCTTATGCATGACAGCACCTACTTCTAAGCACCACACAGCTGAGCCACGTCGAAGCGCACTCCTCGTCCTTCTGGGCATTGCGGCTTTTGCACAGGAGATAACACCCCTGTTCAACAATGTTAAAGTTGTTGCCTTGAAGAACATTAAAGTGCATCATATGCAGATTTTTGCCTTCGGCACCGTCTGCTCAGCACAGCGGTGGCATCAGTCTGGCGTTTTCACCGAAAGCTGTCCGTCGTTGGCGTGTTTGGGTGTTAGAGGAGCAAAACACAACAGTGATCATTTTTCAGGAAAGCGACTTCTGGATATGAACAAATGCTGTATATGTATATTCTAAAGAATTATGAGCCTGTTTTTAGTGGTTATGTTGTGTTTTGGGGGGGAGACGTTGGTGATGGGGATGTTGTGCTGCAATTTAAGGGTTCAGTTATTTGCAACAGAAAGGACCTGGCGCCGGCAATTTAAGCGTCTTCTCTCACTGTTATTTGTCTCGTCCTCACATATAATCGCTGTGGCATTTTGCAGAGGCAATTGGTTTCCTACATGCATCATTAAGAGCTTGCATTACAAGACTACACTGCAAGCACTTGAGCCTCTTGCTAAAAATATAGAAAGCGTCCGCTCGCTGCTTCCCAGGCTGATACTCAGAGCACTGGAGACGCCACTTTGGTGCTTGAGAGACTTCAGATGAGAGTTCACTCCTGGCTACAGTATTAGTGCAGCAACCCCTCAACTAGCTGAGGATTTGCTTGTTTCTAAGTGTTGTTGACCCTCACCGACTCTATAGGAAATCAATTTGTCAGTTGTGCTTAACAAATAGGTCTGTCTTGCTCAGATGATGCTGAACTACACGCAGGCCTTGCACTGTTCCAAGTGTTATAGATTCTGCTACTGTGCTCATTTGAATTTTTCACAATGTTTTGGATCACCTATGGTTTCAGTACACTTTCTAGCTGAGTGACTGTGAGATTCCTTGCAGCAGAGATATTATTGATCGCCATGTAAACAAACAGTAAAATGTATAATTATACTAGTCAACTGGCAGAATTTGAGTTGCAGTGAATTACGGTCCTATTGCATGGTCGTTGTTGGCTGTTATCATCACCACTGTTGAAACAAAATGCTGTGGCTAGGTCTTAGAATTTCACCTTTATTATTTGTTTCCCCCCCCAAGTAGTTTTCCTGATGTCTGCCTTTTTTTCTGGATGTCATATTATACACATCACACAATATACAGTAAACAATTGACCTGTGTGTGTGTTTTCACAAGATCTGTTGTGTGTGTGCCCCTGACTTAAGGTAGATGTTGTTCCTCTGAGCGAGCACATGAGTTAACTCTTATCTCTGTCTTGAAATGTTAAACATTGTAATTTTCTCCAGCAGTTTCTTTTGTCAGCAAAAACATTGAGAAATGACGCACATACTATCTCATTTTAGAATGAATCTGGTTTCATCCTCTCAGCTCACTTGCAGTCCATGCACCATTGCTGTCTGCTAGAAGTGATCCTTTAGAAACTTTGGCACAGATCTGTGCTTGTTGCTGCCGGGCCTGTGGCTTCAGCCAGTGAAATTCTGGAGTTTAGGATTTATGACAGGCTGTTACGATGGTCACAGCATCACTGTGTCAAGGGCAGGCTACATATTCAGTGACTGTATGAATAGTGTTAGTAGTCACTTTTTCTTTATACATGTTTAATGAAGGCAAATTTATATATTTACTTTGTGTGTGTGTACACAGTGGAGTGTATTTGTTTCCCCAGACATTCCATATAAAAGAAAGAAAAAGCTCTTACACAGGTGGGTGGGGGGGGGCATTTTGCTGGTCCACTTGTCCTCTTAGAGGGAAGGGTCACTGCAAATCAATACAAAGTTGTTCTGAGTGATCACTTTTATCCTGTGGGGAAACATGTCTATCCTGATGGGAGTGGTTTCTTCCAGGATGACAGTGCCCCCGTCCACAGGGCACCAGGGGTCACTGAATGGTCTGATGTGGGTAATAACGATGTGAATCATATGCTGTGGCCTTCAGAGCCACAAGATCCAGTGGCGCCTGCAGCCGTAATCCTGTACGCACCGTGCATATATTTTTAAAATGATTTTGCTAAAGTTTTAGGTCACTGCATCTGGCGGACATTGTGCGATAGAGAAATATAGTTTCACATTTATGGCCCAAGGAGCTACAGTATCTAATATGATATCTTATCACACACCCCTGGAGTGGATCACATCATTTCTACTCCCTAACGTGAGCCCTGCAGCTTGGAGTGAATGACAGAAGCCACACACTGACTTTACTTTACACACTTTACTTTATGGGTGGCATGGTGGTGCAGTGATTAGTGCCGTCGTCATAGCAAGAAGGTTCCGGGTTTGAGCCCCAGCCGACCCAATGCCTTTCTGTGTGAGTCTGCATGTTCTCCCTGTGCCTGCATGTGTTCTCTCCGGGTGCTCCGGCTTCCTCCCATAGTCCAACGACATACAGCTTAGGTTGACTGGTGACGCTAAATTGTCCATAGGAGTGAGTGTGGGTGTGTGCCGTTGTTTGTCTACATGTCAGTCCTATGATAGACTGGCGACCTGTCCAGGGTGGACCCCACCTCTCTCCCAATGTCAGCTGGGATTGGCTCCAGCTCCCTGCGACCCTCTTCAGGATAAGCTGAATGGATGGATAGACGGACTTTACTTTATTGTGTGGAAAGTTGGTATGGGAGGGCGTTGATGAGAAAGAGGCTGCTGAACTGAATGAGCTATGGAGGTGCTACTCAAAGACTGCATGTATGCTGAACTCACTCCAAGCTGTGCAGGGCTCATGTTATTACGAGAAAATACAGTATGTTGTTATAATGACAAAATAGCCTACAGCATGTCGTTATAACTTGAAAAATATGTTTACCTTGAAAGTATCTTGTAAAAATGAGCAAAGTATTTTGTTATAATGAGAAAAGTATCTGGATATAATGAGAAAAGTTTCTTGTTAAACAAGATTTATGCTGCTGTAGGCAGTTCTTGTGTGTACTATGAAGTATAGTCCACTGACCAGGTCTAAACCCAGTTGAATACCTATGGGAGATGTTGTTAGACAGCATTTCCACAACCACCATCAAAACACTAAATGAGGGGATCTTTTGGAAGAATGATGTTCATCCTTCTAGTAGAGTTCAGAGACTTGGAGAGTCAATGCCAAGGAGCACTGAAGCTGTTCTGGTACCACACGGTGGCCGAACACCTTACTAAGCCACAGTTATGTACAATATTACACAGAATAGGACATTTTCTTATTGCATAATTGGGCTATAATTATTGATGCATCATTGCGTTTATCAGTGTCAAGCAAACAAATAAGAAATAACAACTTGAATAATATTGTGATAATTGATATCGACTGACATGAAAAAAATTATCACGATAAAGTAATGTATTGTGCATATTGCTCAGCTCTGATATCTGCTATCTACACCTCATCTCTACCAACCATTTATAGTTGACTGTTGCATTTTGGACTTCTTGTTAGGCAGAAATGAATGTACCCAACAACCTAGAATTTTAATGGGTAAACAGTGTTATTCTACTGGATTTCAGTTAGAATGGATGGGCTGGTTCTCACTGCAGTCCCATTTGTGTTTTGGGTGGATAAGAAGGGTGTATGTGTTCACATTAGTTTTGTGTAGCCTGATGGGTTTTTTGGTCCTTACAGGTGTCACCTTCCACATTCCAAAAATGGACAAGAAAAATCTTTTTAACAATAATTTGTACATGGTTGTATTACTCTGTGTATTAGAGTACAGTACCGTTTAGGGAAGAACCGACTTGTTTCACAGAGCTTCTCAGATTTCTTTAAGAGATTAATAACTATAGATAAGAATGGTCAGAAGTTGAACTGAAATTATATTAAATAGCAGCTTTTGAAGCTTTTTTTCCTCTGGTAGAAGTGGGCTTGGTGTTTCCACTCATACGCCTCCTCTGGCCTAGACCATTTTCTAAGATCAGTCTTACCTAATAGAAATCAAAGTAGCTCTAATGTGGAATCTCATTTCCTTTTTACCTTTTAGAGCAAGCTATGGATAAAATGTCTTACACAGTAATATTAGATGTCCTTGTTCATAATTTGTGCTGAACATAATGCTTTTCTTGAAAGCTACATGAATTTCCTAACATTTTTTTCTCCTCTCGCAGTCTGTGACAATTTGCTGCCAAGTGCAGTCAGTTATGTGTATATCCTTAAATGCCCATTGTTTTAATGTCTGTTTGTGCTGCCATGAACAAATGAAAATATTTTTTATACTCAGTCCAGCATGTTCCACGGTCAATGCACACGGCAGATGGAAACTGCTTTAGGTTCAATTGAGCTGCTGTATATGTGTTCAGTGAGCAATGTAGTCTTTGTGTCAAAGGTCAAAGGGCTACCGAGAATTATGGACAGCAGACCTCACCGTCCAAGGCACTGCTGTGACCGACAGTTATTGCAGTTAACATGCAGGTAATGGAGTCAACATACAGTAGAACCATATAGCATCTAAGAAAATGTTTTGCCACACCACAGTACTGTCGGTTGGCTTGTAGATAATGGATCATAGCAGTGTTGACAGATTTAACAGGCCCTGGATCTCTGTTAGATCTGATGGTTTCCGGTGCACTGTGACTGCCTGCTACTGATGACTGG